TTCTTGTCCTTCCTTCTTCTTTTTCATCTTGAGTTATTTTTTTTTGTGATCATCTCTTATCTACCCCATCTACTTCTATCTTTTGGTTTTTCTCTTCTTCATCTTTGTGACTTTTTATCTTATGTGAGTTTTCATTTTATTAGCCTTCTAAAAAAAAAAAAAAAAAAATACCTAGAAATTCGTGCAAAAAAAAAGGCAAAAAAAAAGTGTTAGTGTGTTAAGAAAAAAAAAGAGAAAAAAAAATCCGAAAATTCAAAAAAAAAATTACAAAAAAATATATTGCTGTGAGTTATGACTGTAGAAAAAGGCTATTCTTGAACTCCAAGTCACCAAGAGGTTACTTAAAGAGAAAAGTCAACTTGGGTGATAAGAAAGTCTTTTACGTTGATCACTTTCTTATTTTTTATTTTTGGTAGCACTTTTCAAATTCTCTACTCTCTTATTTGCTATTTGTGCTACTCTCTTATTTTATTTAGTTTTTTTTTATTTTTGTCTTTGAGTATTTGACTCTTTGACTTTTATTTCTTTCTTTCTTATTTTTTGTTGTCACGTGTGGTTTTTTCTTTAACAAGCTTAATTTTATTTGAAAATTTTGCTTTCCTATTTGTTTCAAAATTGCAAAAAAAAAAAAAATCCTCTTTTCACCTTGTGCTTGTTTTCTAGTTTCCTTAATTTAGAAGATATTCACTTGATTGTTCCTTAGTTTCTTGATTTGTGGGTTTCACCATTGGATTCTATCCACAAGCTTAGTGAGTGGTAAAAGGCAAGTGTGTTTTTCATTATTAAAAAAAAAAAAGAAAGCCATTACTTTTTTTTTTGTGAATCACGAGTGACTTTATCTTGAGAGTAAACACGTGAGTTTGTGTGTGTGAGGACCTATTTTTATCTTATATGGTTTCTAGTGCTTCTGTGAATATGAGTAACAAGGATGAATCCCCTAGTATTGATATGAACTCTGTTTTAGAACTTATCAAAACACAGTTGCAGCAGTTTCGCTTGGAACTTGATCATAGGTTCCATAAAGAGGATAAAGATGAGCCGGAGACTTCCTCTTCTAAAGGAAAGAAGCATAAGATCCCCAGCGATGATGAGGAGTATGAAGAACCCCCTTCTCCTAAGGGAAAGAAATCCTCAAAGCGTGGTGTTGACTTACCGGACCAAAAAGTAAAGTATCCTTCATTCAAGGGTAGTAACAATCCAGAAAAATACCTTGATTGGGAAATGAAGATGGACCAAATCTTCATGACTCTTGATTTGTCTGAGTCAAGGAAGGTAAAAACTGTTTCTTTGAATTTCACTGACTATGCTGTTTATTGGTGGCAAGATTTACAGTACAAAAGAAGCCAACTTGGGAAAAAGCCTATTAAAACGTGGGAGAAGCTTAAAAGGTACTTGAGAAAGGCTTATGTACCCAGCTACTACTATACAGAGCTGAATAGAAAATTGAGAATGTTTTCTCAAGGATCTATGACAGTGGAGGAGTATGTGCATGAGTTGAATATCTTGAAGTTTCGTGCAAACATTCAAGAAAATGAACGTGAAGCAATGTCAAGAATTATGGATGGCTTGAGGCCAGAGTTGAGAGATAAGCTTGACTTGTACACTTTTGTGGACAAGGAAGAGCTCATACACAAGGCTATAAAGTTGGAGCAGAGAAATAAGAACAAACGTTCCAAGTCCTCTTGGAAAGACTCCAAGACAACTCCTAAATGGAAGGATTCCAAAGCCAAAGATACATCCCAGGCCAAGGAAGAAATAAAGACCAAGTATGAGGGTAAAACTTCTAACCCTAAACCTTCTTCTTATTCATCTAACACTTCTCCTATTAAGTGTTTCAAATGTCATGGTGTGGGCCACATGGCGAGAGATTGTAGCAATAAAAGGGTTATGATCTTGAGAGATGATGGTGGCTATGATAGTGTGCATGAAAGTGATAAAGATGATGCTGATAATGTTGATGATGATTCTACCTCCCATGAATCAAATGATGAGCTTGAATGCAATGGTGTAGTTGACTCTATCTTGGTGGCAAGAAGAGCTCTCAATATTCAACCAAAGGAGGATGATGAACATGAGCAACGCGAGCATATTTTTCACACTAGATGCTTCATCAAAGAGAAAGTGTGTAGCATGGTAATTGATGGTGGTAGTTGCACTAACGTCGCTAGCACTTTACTTGTAGATAAATTATCTTTACCTTTAATTCCACACCCTAAGCCCTACAAATTGCAATGGTTGAATGATTCTGCTGAAATTAGGGTTTCTAAGCAAGTGTTGATTACTTTCTCTGTTGGAGTTTATACTTGTGATGTATTATGTGATGTAGCCCCTATGCTTGCTGGACACTTGTTATTAGGTAGGCCTTGGCAGTTTGATAGTAAGGCTACTCATGATGGTTTTAGAAATTGTTACAAGGTGCCTTTTAAAGGCAAGACTGTTGTATTAAATCCTCTTAGACCCATCCAAGCCTATGAAGATCAACTAAAGATTACTCAAGATTACAAGCAAAGGAGAGATCTCCTTGATTGTGGCATGAGTGAGAGAGAAAAGAAAGAGAGCATTACTTTACTTGAAAATCAATCAAAAGAGAGGAAAAAGAGTGGTGAGAAGGTGAGAACAGAAAAAAATAGAATGGTGGGAGTGAAGGAAAATAGTGAAAAAAAATATTATTGTGTGAGAAAAGTAAGATTCAAGAGGCTTTGATGAGTGAGCAAGCTCTTATTGTAATTCCCAAGAATATTTATTTTTCTACTAATACTTTTGACCCCACTTTGCCTTCTAGTGTTGTCTCTTTGTTGCAGGATTATAGAGATCTATTCCCTGATGAAATTCCTGATGGACTTCCTCCCTTAAGAGGAATTGAGCATAGGATAGATTTCTTGCCTGGAGCTGCTATTCCAAACAAGCCTGCTTATAGGGCTAACCCTGAAGAGACTAAGGAGATCCAGCGCCAAGTAGAGGAATTGATGATGAAAGGCTTTGTGCGTGAGAGCCTTAGCCCTTGTGCTGTCCCTGTCATCTTGGTGCCAAAAAAAGACGGATCTTGGAGGATGTGTGTTGATTGTAGAGCAATCAACAAAATCACTGTAAAGTATCGTTACCCTATCCCTAGACTTGATGATATGCTTGATGAATTACATGGTGCTTCTATCTTTTCTAAAATTGATCTTAGAAGTGGTTATCATCAAATTCGTATGAAAGAGGGTGATGAATGGAAAACTGCCTTTAAAACTAAATTTGGATTATACGAATGGTTAGTTATGCCTTTTGGTTTGACTAATGCTCCTAGCACTTTTATGGCATTAATGAATCATGTTTTTAGAAAGTTTATAGGCAAGTTTGTTGTGGTTTACTTTGATGATATTTTGATTTATAGTAAATCTTTGACTGATCATATGAATCATCTTAAAAATGTGTTTGACATCTTGAGGGAATATAAATTATATGCTAATTTTCAAAAGTGTTTCTTTTGTATGGACTCTGTTATCTTTTTGGGATTTGTTGTTGGATCACAGGGAATTCGTGTAGATGAGGAGAAAGTTAAGGCTATTCGTGAATGGCCAACCCCTAAGAATGCAAGTGAAGTGAGAAGCTTCCATGGCTTAGCAAGCTTCTATAGGAGATTTGTTAGGGATTTCTCTAGCATTGCTGCCCCTCTTAATGAACTTGTTAAGAAGAATGCGACCTTTAAATGGGATAAAACACAAGAAAGGGCCTTCCAAACCCTAAAGGATAAATTGACTAATGCCCCTTTACTTGTTTTGCCTAATTTCTCTAAAGCATTTGAAATTCAATGTGATGCTTCTGGTATTGGTATAGGTGCTGTTTTAATGCAGGATTCTAAGCCCATAGCTTACTTCAGTGAAAAGCTTCACGGCGCAGCTTTGAATTATTCCACCTATGACAAAGAGCTTTATGCTCTAAAGAGGGCCTTAGAAACATGGCAACATTATTTATGGCCCAAGGAATTCATCATTCATTCTGATCATGAAAGTTTAAAATTTCTCAAGTCTCAAGGTAAGTTAAACAAGAGACATGCTCGCTGGATGGAATTTATTGAAACCTTTCCTTATGTGATTAAGCATAAGCAAGGTAAAGAAAATATCGTTGCTGATGCCTTATCTCGAAGGTATACATTACTTTCCTATGTGCATGCTCAATTGCTTGGTTTTGAGATTCTAAAAGATCTTTATAAAACTGATCCTGATTTTGAAAATATTTGGAAATCTTGTGAAAATCATGGATCTGGTGATTTCTTTAAATTTGATGGATTTCTTTTTAAGAAAAATAAATTATGCATTCCTATTTGTTCTATGCGTGAGTTGCTTACTAAGGAAGCACATAGTGGTGGTTTGATGGGACACTTTGGTGTAGATAAAACTTTGGCTATTTTGTCTGATCATTTCTTTTGGCCTCACATGCGGAAAGATGTCATATCTGTTTGTGATAAATGCATTAAATGTAGACAGGCAAAATCTAAGATCCAACCTCATGGACTTTACTCTCCTTTACCCGTCCCCTCTCACCCTTGGGAACATATCTCTATGGATTTTGTAATTGGATTGCCTAAATCTTCTGCAGGCAAAGATTTCATATTTGTTGTTGTTGATAGGTTCTCTAAGATGGCACACTTTATTGCTTGTGCTAAGACTAGGGGTGTTCACGGGACGGGACGGAACCAGGACACCCCTGTCCCGTGGCCCGTCCCGAAAAATGATCGGGACTAAAAATTTGTCCCGTGTCCCGTCCCGTCCCGGAAGCTGTCCCGTCCCAAAAAGAGTCGGGACGGGACCGGGACGTCCCGGATCAACGAGATTATTACAATCTTTCAACTTATTACTTGACAAGAAAAAGCATCCAGATCTTTTTGTTCACAACTCAACCATATAAATTAAATTTTTTTCGCAACTCAACACCCAGATCTTTTTCTTTGAAAATATTTCTCAACAATGTCCTAATTTTATAAGAGATTTGGAGAGAAAAAAATTACCTCATATTACTTCCATTTGAACGGCACTTGAATTCTTCCCAAGTTCTCGATCACTTCAAATTCCTTCCCTGCAAAATCATATTGAAATAAAAAATTCAGTCTTGCTGTTCACCTAAAGTATTCCTATAATTAATTTATCATTAATTGCAGAATTAAAATTACTGTAAAAACACATTAAAGTTTTGAGAAAGAACCTATTTTTAGCATGCCCCTGTAATTTATAAGTGGTTCACTGTACTCTTCAGGAAGCTCTTTCACATCATAACCCTAATACTTAAAAATTGCTATGGCAAAGAAAGAAATAAATTAGAGGACAAATTAGAAGACACAAATTGACTGCATGCTTTACAAGCAAAGCTATACTATGTCAACTATCAAGGTACAAAACCTGCTACTTTTTCTCGACCTTCGTCATGTAATGCAGTCTCAACTAGTGATGCCATCATCTTAAATATCAAAATTTTGGAAATATCAAGATTTTGGAAATACCAAGATTTTGGAAATATCAAGATTTCCTACTAAAGGAAAAAAAGCAGTAACAGAAAATCAAATTAAATCAAGTCTACGAAGAACATTTCAACAGGCAGCAGCAACATTCAAAAGACAAATAACAACAACAATTCAACAAATACAGCTTAACAAAGATAAATAACTTCTAAGTAATAAGTGCAACAAGTAGTCAAGAATCAACAATTTAAGCCCCAAGTACAACTTTAACTTCAACTTCAACTCATTGCTCTTCCTCTTCAACTGAGATATTTGAAGCTAATGATTCTTCTGAAAATAAAACAATAAACACAATATAAACAAAAATTATTAAATATATATAAACAAAAAGTTAAATCATATTAAAAGAAATAATCAAATTTAAAAAAATGATATTACCTTCCACAGCTTGCTCTGTATCGTTAAAATTATCAACATCAACACCTTTCAGTTTTGCAGTTGATGGAGATAGCCAGTTTTGGCCACAAATTAGTGCCTCAACCATCTTTGGAGATAGGGAGCTCCTAAAATCATCAATTACACGACCTCCTGTGCTAAATGCAGATTCTGAAGACACAGTGGAAACAGGCATGGCCAATACATCACGTGCAATCAATGAAAGGACTTTATATTTAGCCGAATTCAATTTCCACCATGTTAAAATGTCAAAATTTGGATCAAGTGCTTCAGCTAACTCATCGTGCAAATACTTGTCCACCTCTGCATACTTATCTGCTTGAACCTCAATCTCTTTTTGGGCAAGAAACCTTTGAAATGAAGCCCTAGACCTAGAACTTAAGAAAGTTAAAGGCCTACGATCTGATCCAAGTGATTGAGTCAAACTACTTTCACTTGCTCCTTGTGTCTGACTTTGACTCTGACTTTGAGTCTGAGATGTGTCAACCCCACTTGAATAATGATCATATAAACGATACAAGACATCTGAGACTTTTTTTGTCATAGCTTCACGTTGTGTAGTCTCAGGAAACATATCCTCAAAAGCAAACTGCAAATATTTCATTTTATACCTTGGGTCAAGTACCACTGCTACCACAAGCAAAAGATTAAGTTTCTCTAAGTTCCCCCAATACTTATTATACTTGGTCAACATGCTCTTAGCCATATCACAAAGCAAGGAATCATGATTGTTTGCATTTTCATATAAAATTGCAAAGACATCAACTATCTGTTGAAAGCAAACATTTGAGGTCACATAAAGTGATCCTGAAAATTGCAAAGTAATATCATAGAACACCTTCAAAAAGATCACAAAATCTTTTGCATCCTTCCAATCATTTTCATTAGGGGGACCAATCAAATTTTTATCCAAGAAGAAGTTTCTGTAATCATTATCTTGCTGCTCCATCCTCTCAAAAACGCTGCAAAATTTAATTGCACTCTCTAACATGATGTAAGTTGAATTCCATCTAGTTGGACAATCCATGCTTAGTAGCCTTTTTGAATCAATTTTCATTTTTTCCACAAGCTCCTTGAATTTATGAAACCTTGATGGAGAAGATCTCACATATTTAATGGCATTTCGAATGCCTTCAATACACTTGTGCATATCCTTCACACCATCAGAAACAATCAAATTTAAGATATGCGCACAACAACGTAAGTGCAAGAACTCCCCATCACAAACTAAACCATTCCAATGCCTCAAGACCCCCTTTAAAGATGCCAAAGCAGTGTCATTAGAAGAAGCATTATCAACTATGATTGTAAACACCTTATCAATACTCCAAAACAGCAAGCATTTCTCAATTTCTTGAGCAATTGTTTCTCCCTTATGATTTTCAACTACACAAAAATTCAAGATTCGCTTTTGATATGTCCAATGCTCATCAACCCAGTGAGCAGTTAAGCACATATAATTGGCATTTTGATTGGAAGTCCAAGTATCAGTAGTGAGTGAAACACGGATTTGAGATTTTTTAAAATACCTTTTCAACTTTCTAGCTTCTTCAAGGTACAACTTGTAGCAATCTCTAGTAACTGTCGCTCTTGAAGGGACTTGAAAGCGAGGTTCTGACCTTCTCATCATCTCTTTAAAACCATCACCTTCCACAACATTAAAAGGCATCTCATCCAATATCACAAATATAGCAATGGCTTGTCTGCAATCAAGTTGATTAAATAGATGATGACTCAAAGTTTTAGATGACCCTAATTGAGAGCCCGATAGCAAAGATTGTGCCAACTTGTTTGCTTTGTTCGGATTTCTAGGACATCTTTTTACATGTTTTCTCATTCCATTTGTACCATGTCTTGTAGAGTCACAACCAATTGTTGTTGGGCAATACTTGCACTTAGCACGGGGTTCTCCATTAGTTTTGTCCAATGGCAACCTTTCAAAATGCACCCAAACAGCTGATTTACGTCTCTTTCTTCCACTGTCTCCTTCATTCTTTGACTCATTTCCCTCATTTTCCTCTTCAGTATCAGGTGATAAAGCATTTTCAGGATCTCCTTCTATTGTTTCAACATTTTCTTGAAGGGTGGGTGTAGTGGCCATTTTTCTTTGCAATGTAGATTTAGCCAATAGCAGCAGCAACAACAACCCTTAACTGATTAAAACCTCATATTAAATATTCAAATAGATTTGAAAGAGACCAGTCTGACATAGTAAGCACGATAAATCATCAAAACTTTTAACAAATTGGTAGAGAGATATAATCCATTAAATCTCACAGCAGACAAAAAAAAAGTAAGCAATTAATATATTGTTGTAGCACTATTTTCAGCAAGCATAACAAAAGAAAAATTAAAATATCACCTTCCTGGAAAGAAGATGGAATTAAATGATATTAACACATTTCCTAACCAATATTTATTTTTCTTAAAAACAAGAATAAATAGAATGGGCATATAAACATATCACCGAGATAACAGATTTACCTCTTTGCAATTTAGAACAATTATCTTGTGAAAGTTTGCTATAGTATTATTTATAAATTATAAATACTATAGTATAGAACTCTAACTTTTATGATTTAGAAATTAGAATGTATGGAAGGAGTGAGATTTATTAATTAGATAGATTCCAAAACTCGCGTGGGTTCTTTTTGGTTGGTGTGTTTACTGTGAAGTAGTGCAGGTCCATTCTAACCAACAGTATATTTGTTTTGGTAGAACTTGGCAAGAGTACAGTTTAGATCCATTTCTTTACAAATTGAGAAATGAAGGGTGGGCACATGGGTGAGCCAGCCAACATGAAACTGAGGATTTGCCAAATCTAAATGACCATGTGCGCCAGACAGTGTGTGCCCCATGAAACAACTTTGATTCAACCATCCATAAGCAAACCTCAAGGGATTAAATTAAAATCACTCATCATTTTGTGATGCTTTAATATTAAATTATATTTAATCAAAGCTTAACTTTTTGTGATTGGGTAACAGTATATCTAAAAGGCCTTTCTCAACCAAAATGCACCAACATGAAATCTTTTCCTGATCAGGTAACAATATTGAACCGTTCTTTAAACATGATTGTAAAGACATATCTAAATAATTAAAAGGATTTTTTTTAATATGCCTATTTACTTAGATTAAATTTAAGCATTGTCAGGCTTACCTAAGGGTAACTCTTTCACATATGTTTTGTATATTTATGCTGATTTGAGCATGAAATCTCATGTTTTTTTCATTGAGATTAACCTTTGTTAATTAAAAAAATATTTTAAAAACTGAAAAGTAATACAAGTAACTATTTAAACCACTAAGAGGTGCCATTTTCATACTGCTCAAACATATCAACCTCAAGTTCTCAACCATAAAGGAAGCCCAATTTCCTTTACCCTCTTTAAACATCCAACTGCACAATAGAAGTGAAATTTCCTCCCCTCACCCACGACATTACGGTGTTCCAAGAACAAGAAAGAACAAATGAGTCTCACAATCAGATGCAATGCCATATCTAGAAGAGAATTACGAATCCTTACCTCCAACCAATCACGATGAAGCAAGTAGAAAAATTTAGAACTCCCTCAAACAGAACAGCGTCGAAGAGCAGGGGAAGGAGACAATGGCGAAGTGTAGCATCAAAGGAATGAGTTGGGTGTTTGATGGAGACTCCTACGTCTTTGAAAGACAGCGACTCATTTCATGGGAGGAAGAGATTACCGGCACACCCTTGTAGCTGCTCAAACGGAGGAGAAAGATGAAACCTCAGCAATGTGAGGCAGGGGAGGACCAAAACCACGAACTTGACGGTGCAGCCGACGGAAATATGAGGCAACGTTGGGAGCCTGGGAAGGAGATTTGGGTAGAGATCTGGGTTGAGGCAACAAATACCTTGCACTACAGCTCGAGACGGAGGCGTGGAGGTGGAGATAGAGGTGTGGTCCAGGTCGCGAAGGCAGAGGCGTCAGCTCTAGTCGTTGTGTGTCGAAGCTCGAGTAGAAAGATGATGTAACCGAACTTACCAAAGGACCGAAGGACCGAAGGTCTGCTACTCTGCTTTGTCTCTGTGGCTGGACGACTGATCTGCGGCGGAGGGATCTTTGGAGTTGGAGGCTTGGAGCTTTGGAATGGAAGGGAAAGATGGAAACCGAACTGAGCTTTGGAATGGCGGAGGCGGAGGGATCTAGATCTGGATCTAGAAAGTGGAACTGGAAAGTGGAAACTGGAAAGGGAAACCGGAAAAGGAACTTCAAAAATTAAAAATGGTCTCTCGCTGCCGTGCGCCCGTGCTGCGTATTTCAGTCTCTCAGAGCTAAAAATAATATTAAAAATCAAATAATCAATTTAATTAAAATAAATAAATAATAGTTAAATTTAAAAAAATATATATTTATATATACTGAATAAACGGGACGGGACGGGACGTCCCGATGGATGGCCCGTGTCCCGTCCCGTCCCATCCCTATTTTGTCCCTGTCCCAAAAAAATCCCGTCCCGAATTTTTTCGGGCCGGGACAGACCCGTCCCAATATGATCGGGACGAGCACAGGCCGGTACGGGTCAGTCGGGCCGGGTACATCTTGAACACTCCTAGCTAAGACTAATGATGCTGTTAACATTGCTGACTTATTCTTTAAAGAGATTGTTCGTTTGCATGGTTTACTTAAGACTATTGTGAGTGACAGAGATGTGAAGTTTCTTAGTCATTTCTGGCGTACCCTATGGCATAAATTAGGGACTAAGTTACTTTTTTTCCACTACTGCCCATCCACAAACTGATGGTCAAACTGAGGTAGTTAACAGAACTATGACTACATTATTAAGAGCAATAATTCAGAAGAATTTGAAGAATTGGGTGAATTGTTTACCTCATATTGAATTTGCTTACAACAGGGCTGTTCATTCTTCTACTTCTTATTCTCCATTTGAAATTGTTTATGGTTTCAATCCATTATCTCCTATTGATATTTTACCTTTGCCTTTCTCTGAGCATGCTAACACTGATGGCAAGGAAAAAGCTAAGTTTGTGCAGGACTTACATGCTAAGGTTAAAGCAAATATAGAGCGAAAGAATGAGCAATATGCCAAGCAAGCTAATAAAGGCAGGAGACGTGTGATCTTTGAGCCTGGAGATTGGGTTTGGTTACATTTAAGGAAAGAGAGATTTCCTAATCAAAGGAAGTCCAAACTTCAAGCTCGAGGAGATGGACCTTTTCAAGTTTTGGAAAGAATTAATGATAATGCTTACAAGATTGATTTGCCTAGCTCTTATGGCAATGTTAGTGCCACATTTAATGTTTCTGATTTATCTTTATATGATTCTGCAGATTCGAGGACGAATCCTTTCCAACTGGGAGGGAATGATGGGCCCCATGGCACAGGTGACATAACATTAATGGCAACGAAGCCTGAGGATGGTAATCATGAGCATGGTGACATAGAAGGAGCCCAATACTTCCAATCCAACGTACCTAAAGACCCATTGCAACATATTGGAGGTCCAATGACAAGAGCCCGAACCAAAGCTATGAAGCAAGCCTTGTTCAGTCTTGTGCAAGAAGTTCAAGAGCTTGGAGAGCATTGGGGCACTCCCCTCAAGTCCAAAGGAAAGCATCTATATGTGTATAATGTATTTAAGATCCAAACTCATGAAGAGTCAAGCCCAAGAGATGCAGACCTTAGCCCAATGCAAGGAAGACTACAAGTTGAGCCTCTTGCATGCAAGGAGACATGAAACCCTAGTAAAGAAGTCAAGAGTGGCGTGATTTCAAATCCTTTATGATCCCTTGATTGTATCCTAAATTATTTCCTATTTTAATGGTCCTTTGATTTGATTTTCTATTTTGAGTCTAGTCAAAGGTTAGAATTAATTATAATATTAATTTCTAAATTTTGTAATCCCATAATTTTAGGATCACATCTCCTAAATTATGTGGCTAAATATTTTATCATTATTTCTCCTTTTAGTATTAGGAAATTAGGGTTTTAATTTTAGGAAATATTTTTCTATAAGCCTATATAAATTAGGCATGCTCCCTATTGTAAACAACACAGAAGTTGAATGAAATTATTCATTTTAGAGTTTATAACTCTTGTGAGCCTTAGTGCTTTGTGGTGGTATCCCGTGTGAGAAACCGACGTGATCAAGAGCGTGATCAACTCTTGTGGTGTCTTCGAAGGTTGAGGTTCCTAGAGGCAGGTGCTCTAGAGGATCTTCTCCTTGATCATTATCCTATTGTTTACTTCATACCTTTCTTTATTTCCGTCATAAATTTCGTCCCTTTCTTTTTTTTGTTCTTGTGTTTTTGTTGTTTCAGGGTTCTGTCCCTAAACTAGCACGATTCTGCTTCCGCGTCCCTATCACTTAGTGGTATAGATCCACTGTCTCTTTTGGGTATTTAATTTATGATTTATAATGTGTTATATTGCCAATATTAGGGCTTTTTGTTTATTGTCAATTATATGAATATATAAATGTAATCATGCCTTTCAAACTATTTCTATTTTTGGTACAATTTAGATGACTGTAATTTTAATATTTGGTTTACATTGGATTGGTTAAAATGGCAGGATTATAAGGCCAAATAACTGGCTTGTGTTGAAAATTTATTAAATTGCTTATTTTACTTGTTGGGAGTATAAGGATGGACAAATGTGATTTAGTTTACTTGTTAGGAGTATAAGGATGGACAAATGTGATTTAGCCTAATGGCATGTGGGAGGTAAAAATTTATCTGAAATGTTATAGTGTGTGAGTTGAAGCCAATTATAAAATATTTTATATTGAAATTATTGATATAAAAATGTGTTGGGTGGCTGTAACTCAACTATAGTTGAGTTAAATTATTTAAAAAAAATTTTTTGGTGTGTTACACTATCAATAATTGTTGAGGACTAAATGACAAAAATGCCCTTACTAATTTTTTTAAAAGAATTTAGCAAAAGTTGAACAAGGTTTTTCACTGTCAATATTTCACATTAGGTCCTTCGCTGTTAATAATTTCATGTCAATACTTAATACAATGTCCTTTGATGCCAATATGTTAAAAAAGGTCTCTCAATAGTAATTTATTAAGCCATGAAACACGTTTGAAGCATATGCGATATTTCTTCCATATATTCAAATATTTCTTGAGTGTTTATTTGGATGCATATGCAATGTTTCTTTCACGATATATGATTACTCTTCAACAAAATACAATTTTATTTTATCTATTCAAATATCTTTTGTTAAAATTCCTTATAAGCTCATATGGATGCATATGTAATGTTTTTTCCATAATATGTGACTGCTTTTCAACGAAATACAATTTTCTTCCACATATTCAAATATTACTTTTGCATATTTGAATATGCTTTGTTAAAATTCATTATGGACTCATTTGGATACATATGCGACGTTTCTTCCACAATATGCGATTGCTCTTCAACAAAATGCATTTTTCTTCCATATATTCAAATATTACTTTTGCATATTCGAATTTCCATTGTTAAAATTTCTTATGGATACCTTTGGATGCATATACAATATTTTTTCCATGATGCGCAATTGATATTTTAACTAAATACAGTCTTCTTCTATATATTCAAATATCATAAATGTATATTCAATTAAATGGAAGAAAAATTGCAGTTCCTTAAAACACAGTTGCATATCGTAGAAGAAAAATCATATATGATTGAAAATACCTGTATATGATCCTAAAACATGATATTAATTGTAAAATTTTCAAGACATCCAAAATAGTTATTTGAATAAATGGAAGCTAAACCGTATTTTCAAGATATCCAAATGCATATTCAAATACAGCTTAGAACTTGGGATTTGAATATCATACCAATGTTGTGTTTTTAGGATATCACAAATGCATATTCTACAATTTTTTTTTCTTTTTTCATGAAAAAACCTAAGAATATTCTTAAAAATACAAATATTGGTTATAAAAATTTACCCATTTTTCATGAAAACATTTATAGATATTTTGAAAACATAAATGAATATTTAAAAAAATTGCTCATTTTTCATGAAAACATTAAGGGATATTTTGACAATGCAAGTGGTTTTTTTAAAAAAAAATTAATTCATTTTTCATAAAAATACCTATGAATATTACGAAAACACAAATGAATATTTAAAAAAAGTTGCTCATTTTTCATGAAAATACCAAAGGATATTCTAAAAACACAAATAGATATTATAAAAATTTGTTAATTTTTCATGAAAATGCCAATAAATATTTTCAATGGTCACTGTTGTTATATGTAGAGTTTAATCACACCATTTTAAAGTATAAAGAACAACAATTAAATACTAACAAATTCATTTATCTATCATTAAACAATATTTTTACATTTCTTAACAACATAAACTACATTACATCATAATAAGAGAATACACAATAAATTCACTTAATTACATCTTAGAAGTCCTAAACAACTACAGTTCTTAAAATAATTAACAATTGCCTCCATAAGTCATTCTCCCATGCATGATCTTTAAAAGCCTTTAGATTCTTCAAACCCATTCAGACCATGGAATTCATTTGTATGAATTTAGTTGTGTATATCCCATTTCATCCTGGCATTTTGTCTAGCTGCTTTTTCTCTTCTTCTTTGATAGGATCCTCTTCAGAATTTTCTTCTAGTTCTTCATAATAATAAGAACCTTTTGAATTCTTCAAAATTACCATTTCAA